GTAGTAGTAGTAGTAGTCGTATTTTTTACTACTATTATTATTATTATTATTATTAGTAGTAGTAGTAGTAGTAGTAGTAGTAGTAGTAGTAGTAGTCGTAGTAGTAGTAGTAGTAGTAGTAGTAGTAGTAGTAGTCGTAGTGGTAATAGTAGTCGTAATACTATTAGCCCCATTGGTAGTGAGAGGATGAGGAGGAGTAGGAGGAGGAGAAGGGGGGGAGGAGGAGGAGGAGGAGGAGGAGGAGGAGGAAACTTGATAGGAGGAGGCCCCCACACCAAAATTATTTCCGTCGGCCTAAGGATTTCTCCGTCGGCCTAAGGATTTCTCAGGATTCCTATGGATTCGTAAAGGTTCCTAAAGCTGAAGGATTCCGGAGGAATCCTGCGGAATTCCCAAGGATCCTAAGGAATCCTATGGGTCCTAAGAAATCCCAAGGACCCTAAGGAATCCTGAGGATCCTAAGGAATCCTAAGGAATCCAAAGGATTCTTAAGGAATCCTAAGGAATCCTAAGGGATCGAAGTACTTCTGAAGAAGAAAGAAGCACTTCTGAAGAAGAAAGAAGTACTTCTGAAGATCCCATGGTTGTAATTGGTCCCATTTCTGGTTGCAATTCGCTCCGAGCGGTTGGAATTGGGACTAGTCGGTTGTAAATTGTCCCATTTTGGGTTCGACCCCCCCCCTCCCCCTTCCCCTACTTCTCGTCTCTCTTTCTCCTCGGGCCAGCGCCGTCGTCGGCGGGCGGCTGGCGGTGGCGGCGGCGGTGCTGGTGGTGGTGGTAGTGGCGGTGGTGGTGGTGGTGGTGAGGTGGTTTGTGGTGGTTGGTGGTGGTGGTGGTGGTGGTGGTGGGTTGTGCTGCTGGTAGTAGTGGTGGTGGTTGTGGCGGTGGTGGTGGTGGTGGTGGTGTGGTAGATTGTGGTGATGGTGGTGGTAGTGGTGGTGGGTTGTTGTATTGGTGGTGGTGGTGGTGGTGGTGGTGAGCTGTTGTGTTGGTGGTGTTGGTGGTGGCTGTGGTGTTGGTGGTGGATGTGTGGTGGCGTGGTGGTGGTGGTCGTGGTGGTGGCGGTGGTGGTGGTGGTGGTGGTGGCGTGGTGGTTTGCGGTGGTGGTGGTGGTGGTGGTGCCGGGGCTGGACTGCGGGTGATGTCGCGATTGCCGGACAGCCGCGGACTCGTGGAACAGGTCGCAGACGCCGACGACCTGGAGACGGTCGAGTCGAGGGCAGCCCGAGACCGCGAGCTTCCGGGACGTGCGCTCTCTGCGTGTGCTGCGACGTCGCCCCGCCTCGGCGCTGGCCGGTTTCCCAGCGCAGGGGGGCGAGGCGCCGGGCGACGTCGAGATGGGCGAGAACGGCCTCCCGCGACGGCGGCGCCTCTCGCGCCGTGGGCCCCTCGAAGCGAGGGCAGCGCGTGGGGCGGCGCGGGTCCGAGAGGCGGCCGAACGGGGCGCTGTCGCGGGGGCGGGACGGCAGCGGGCTCGGGGCGCGCGACCCCCGCGGCAGCGGACCCCCCTCATCTGGTGAGACCGCCTTGGGAGCCAGGCGGCCGGGAGAAACCGCGGGGGGGCTGCTGGCGAAGGCCGTCAGCGAATTCGGGCGCCCGCGGAGGAAGGGCCCCCCCGCTCGGGGCGCGGGCGAGGCAGACGACGCGAATGGGGTCTGGGTGGCGCAAGGGGCCCCCAGTGGCGAAGCACAGGAGGGCGGGGCCGCCGGGCGGCCCGGGGGGGCGCCACGGCAGCGCCTGGGCCGAAGTCGAACGCGAAAGTGTGGGCGGTCTTCTTCGCCGAGGTCGCGGGGGACGAGGCCCGCTCCAGGCGGCGTCGCGCCTCGAACGGCTACTGCGCGAGGGGGCCCAGGGGCGGGCGACCTCGGCAATTAGGAGAAGGCAGGCCTCGACGAGCAGGTGTGGGCCCGCGTGGCGGCCGCGGACCTGAGATACCGCGTGCCCGACGCGGCGACGCAGGCCATTCGGGGCACCGCGAATCGGCCGAATCGGCCGCTCCGCGGGGGGCCAGGCCGCGCGGAGGGTGCGAGCGGCGTGCAGATTTGGAGGCGGCGCCCGCGCACCGCGGTGCTGGCTCAAACCTCCCCGCCTGGGGGGCCCTGCGCCCGCCTCGGTGGGCGAGGGCCCTCCTGGCGGGAGTGGGGGTCGGGCAGGGGTCGCGCTCCCGCGTGTCTTCGGGGTGGTCTCGGGCCCCCACCTCCGGGCATCTCCCCGCCGCGGTTGGGGGCCCCCCCTTTCCGCCCGAGGGGGGCCTTCGCCCTCCCGCCGCCAGCGGTGGCGGGGTCCGCAAGGGAGGGGGGCCTCCATTGAGGAGGACCCTATGGGGGCGGGGTGGGATTTCGATGCCGCGCCTCTCGGCATCCGGGCGCGTGCGGGCGGCGGACTGCGGGGGCGGTGTCGGGCCCCCCGACATTGGCAGTGTCCGGGACGGGGGGGGTAGGGGGGCATAACGGAGGCCCGCGCGTCTACGATTTTGTTAAGTTCCTCTTTCTCTCTCTCGCCTCTGGGCTCTTTCCCTTCCCTCCCCCTCTCGCCTCGGGGCTCTTTCCCTTCCCTCCCCCCCTCGGTCTACCGACGATTCTTGCGCGTCGCCGAGCGGGGGCTCCTGGAAGTGACAGGTGCCCAGCGTGCAGGACCCTCGGCACTGCCACTTATAAGCGTGGAGTCGCCGTCACTTCGCTGCCCTTTTGCCGCTATCGCACCGCCATTGTCAGGCTCATCGAGGATAAACAATCCGTTCGGTGAAGCGATGTGTGTCTTATTCCTGGCCCGACGCCAGCTCCATTTGGACAGAGGCGCTTGGCCTTGTTCTGAAGAGCCCACCCACAATCACCCTGGAGCATCACGTTCACGGGAGTGGCAGGTGCCGTTCTTACAGGCCCCCTTGGTACTGCCACTCGTAACAGGTGGAATCGCCGCCGCCTCATTCTGCCCCTTTTTACCGCTATCGTATGTTATTACGGCTCATCGCGAGGATACGTTTGGATTCCGAATCGCGTTCACGAGGCATTTGGGGAAATCTAGCGACGAAGTCCAAAAGAGACCGGGAACGATCGCGAGAGCGCTTGGGATTTTTTTGAGTTGGAGGCTTGGGGCCAGGACAATTGGGAATTCGAGGACATTCCACGATGTGCTTGCGGCGGGGCTGCCAATTTGATGACTCAGCGGTCTACTCGTTGAGCTCCCTCTCCAGGCCGGCCGCATAGCACCTTCTCAGATTTACTTTGTTTGCAAGTCCTTCTTCCTTTCAACCTCGTTCCCTCCCCCCTCCCCCTCCCCCTTTCCCTTCCCCAGCCCCCGGTCCCCTGCATCTGCCCACTCATGGCCTCCTGCTTTTCCCTCTCGCCCTTGTCCCTCTCCCTCCCGCCCGCCCTTCTCCACGTGTCCCTCCGCCCCTTCCTCTCCCCCCTTTTCCGCTCTCCCTCGGGCGCAGGTACTCATGGCAGACCAGCTGCTGTGCAGAATAGAGTACCTGCACTCGAAGGGCCTCATCCACCGCGACATCAAGCCGCTTCACCGCCACCCCTCTGCTGTGCAAGGGGGAGTGGGGATGGGGGGGGGAGACAAGAGGGAAGAGGCAAGGGGGGAGTGAGGGAGGATGATAGAGGGAGGGGGCCGAAGCGAAGAAAACACAGCAATGCAAGGAAGAAGGCGAGGAGCAGGGAAGGAACGAGGGAGGATGAGGTGGCGGGAGAGGAAGAGGGGAGGAAGGAGGAGAGCGAGAGAGTCCAGGAGTGCGACCCCGCCGGGGCCTCGAAGAGCGCTGAGAGGGAGTATGGGAAACGAGCGGCGACGTCAGATTCGATGCAGCGCTCACCCCGCTGGCAGGCCAGAGAATTTCATGTTCGGAGTGAAGGACAAGGTGCATCATATCTATCTCATCGACTTCGGGCTGAGCAAGCGGTGACCCGGCCCGCGTTTTTTTTTGGGGGGGGGTCGGAGCCTGGTTCCTATTCAGAACAAGCTCGTGATGTGTGGGAGCATCTGCTGCTTCATCTGCTGCTCCTGATTTTGATGTGGGTGATTGATGCTGATTGGTGGTGCTGGTGATGGCGATGGGGATGGTGATCATGTTGAGGTTAATTCATCTGACCATTATGGTGATTCTGATTACGGGGATGCAGATACGGACGATGTTGTTGCTGCTGATGATGATGCTGATGGTGATGATGATGCTGCATCTGATGATGATGCTGATGATGATGATACTGCTGCTGATGATGATGCTGATGATGCTGCTGCTTATGATGATGATGGTGATGCTGCTGCTGCTGATGATGATGATGATGATGGTGGTGGTGATGATGATGATGATGGTGATGATGATGACGACGACGATGATGATGCCGATGATGATGATGCTGATGAGGATGATGCTGCCGATGATGATGCTGATGATTATGCTGCTGCTGATAATGATGATAATGGTGATGCTGCTGATGATGCTGATGCTGCTGATGCTGATGCTGATGCTGCTGCTGATGATGATGCTGCTGATGATGATGATGATGATGATGATGATGATGCTGCAGACGCTGCTGCTGCTAATGCTGATGATGATGCTGTTGCTGCTGATGATGATGATGCTGATGATGATGCTGCTGATGCTTCTGAAGATGATGCTGGTGATCATGCTGATGCTGCTGATGATGATGATGCTGCTGACGATGATGATGCTGATAGTAGTAGTAGTAGTAGTAGTAGTAGTAGTAGTAGTAGTAGTAGTAGTAGTAGTAGTAGTAGTAGTAGTAGTAGTAGTAGTAGTAGTAGTAGTAGTAGTAGTAGTAGTAGTAGTAGTAGTAGTAGTAGTGTAGTAGTAGTGGTAGTAGTAGTAGTAGTAGTAGTAGTAGTAGTAGTAGTAGTAGTAGTAGTAGTAGTAGTAGTAGTAGTAGTAGTATAGTAGTAGTAGTAGTAGTAGTAGTAGTAGTAGTAGTAGTAGTAGTAGTAGTAGTAGTATAGCAGCGCAGCAGCAGCAGCAGCAGCAAGCACATTAGTAGTAGTAGTAGTAGTAGTAGCAGTAGTAAATAGTGTAGTAGTAGTCTTATCGTAGTCCGTAGTCTAGTCGTAGTCGTAGTCGTAAGTCGTAGTCGTATCGTAGTCGTAGTCGGATCGTAGTCCGTAGTCGTATCGTAGTCGTTATAGTAGTAGTAAGTAGTAGTAAGTAGTATAGTATAGTAGTAGTAGTAGTTGTAGTTGTAGTTGTAGTTTAGTTTTGTAGTAGGTATAGTAGTA